TCCAGATTGCCTGAGTGAATGTCTGGAGGTGTAGGCACCTCGGAATGATTGTGTTAAGCTAGCACTGAGTCCCTCTCTCGTCCACCGTTACTCTTTTCTTTACAATAAGGCTTTCAAATAAATCATGGTTGTACGGCAGTGAAGCATCGGTGTTGAACACTGATGTCATGCTGTCGATGATGATGCTGCTGCTGATGATGATGGTGGTTCGACCGCATTGTGTGCGATGACAATTTTTGGTAAATTAGATATTGAATTTTAAAAATTTTTAGAATTGTTTAGCTGTAAGGACATTTGGATACCCAACTGTCATGTTACGCAAAGGAAGCACGAGGTTTGAGATAGTGTCAGGTTGCCCCGAGAGGTCCGTGGTTCGAACCTGACCTCTGCCTCTCGGCCTTCGTGCTTCCTCCGGGTAGCATGGCAGCTAGCCACCGAAGAGATGCTACGGCTGTACGACTGCCCTAATTTACACACGAACAGTCAACATGCGGCTATTTTTGAACTGCAAACCTTCCGGTCAGTAATTTCGCACCTTAACCATCAAGCTATCTCGAGTTTGATTGTTGCCATTAATGATGAGGGTACTTGATGTCGTAGAGCACATATAGACCCAGGAGCTTAGCACCCATCATAATTGTCGAGAACCCTGTTTCCAGTAGATCAAACTGTTTCATTCGTTGTCTGAACAGACACAGAATTTGCGTTTTGTTTTGATCTGTCGGTAGTTCCACAATCTACAAACTGCTCATGTTGAAAACAGTCAGATCTATCGCCATTCGTTTTTCTTGTTCATTTCAATCATTGATGCGATCCGCATGAATTGGTCCGGAGCTAACTCCTTCCATCGAAATCATCAAACTGGACACGCGTGTAGGTTACCTATGTTTCATCTGTCTTTTCTGATTATCTTGCGTACATACTTCCGTTCACCCCGGTGTGCACGATGGTACTGCTAGTGAGGATGTCCGCTTTAGTGCACGCGCCCTCACTAGTGAGTACTGTTGACCTGAGGTCGACCTGCTGGATAAATCAACTTCTCTGAGCTGGCAATCTGATTGCGGACGTTTCGTCACCAGTCGAGGTGACATCAACAGTGCCTTGTTGAGGAGTGTAGCGGTGCGTAGCGCGGTGATAAAACATTTGCAATCAAAAATTGCCCACCTCAGAGGACAAACCAACGACCATCTACGTTACCCAAGCTACCAACATCTTCCTGTGCATAAAATCAACTTCTCACCTGGCCCTTCACTGATCATTTTTGCATTCGTCTCTCCTTCTCTTTGTAGATGAATTCACTTGAGGCTCATCGGAATTTCGATACGGTCGATATATCTTAGATACCTGCACTTTGCATCCCCGATAGCTAGACTTGACACTTGCACGGGACATCGATACCTTTGCAAAGCCAGCGTCATGTCAAAGACACGCGACGTTCGCCGCTTATAATGAAGTCATCGAACATGACTAGAAACTGTTTTCAAAAGTGGCAAGCATACGATGACATTGATAGGAGTTTGTCGTTTCGCAAATAAAAAGGTGATTATTTCGTAGGAAACAACACTGTGGTGGCAGTCAGTATGTGGATGAATCGTGGCAAAATGTGAAAGAAGCTATACTAGCGGCGTTCAGTGCTGCCTGCCCGACTTCTCCAATTCGAGCACAAGACCACTGGATGTTGTCGAGGTCGTCATCCATGATTGATGCCAGGAAAGCCATACCAGCAGGCAACGAGTACGACGGCGCG